AAACCCTCAGAACCTACGGCTGATAGGTCGGGCATCCACATCAGCCGCTGAGCCACTGGTCCCACTAAGTCTCGTTACTGGTTGATCGCTAGCAAAGAAAACTTAAAGGTTTTGTTAAAAATAAATTCTTAAGGACTTCTTCACTAATCAGGAACTGGATCAAAGCTTGTGAGAGCCGGTGAGTCCAGCTGTTTTACTGAACTTTTACCTTCAGACTGTGAATATCTTAACATGCTGACGATGAGTAGGTGTGGTGGTGGAGTGGCTGCTGTTTCTAGGATGAAGCTCACCTGCAAATAACTCTTAAGTGACTCTTAATAAAGTTTTGAACTTCTGGTGTTGCAGCTGTATACACACCTTCAAAATATCACAAGGATTTTATTCTACACTTTTCAAGCTTTTTAGCTGCTATCGTGCCAACAATAATTGGAACAATTTTCTATTACTTAAAAAAAAAAAATCAATAAGATAAAAAACTGCACGAAAACTGCAGTTCTGACATGTTAAGGATTTTTAACAGCGGTCTTAGTTCAGGTGTTGTGCCAGCCTGTTTTAAACAAGCTGTTGTAAAGCCTGTACTTAAAAAAATAATCTCCATTCATCTGTCCTCGCAAATTTCAGGCCTATTTCAAAGCTTCCTTTCCTATGAAGAATTAGGGAAAGATTGTATTTGTCAGCTGCAATCTTTTGTAAATGGACGATGTGCTCTTGAGAGGTTTCTGTCTGGTTTAAATTTTAAAAAGTTCTTAATGATCTTTTATTAACCACTGACTCAGGAGACTCAGCTCTGTTTTTGCTTTTGGATCTGACCGCTGCCTTTGATACTGTTGACCACAGCATCTCGATCTCATGATTGGAGCATTGCAGCATCAAGGTCGTTCCATCAGAGTGGTTCAGGTCTTACCTGTCTGACAGGACTTCCTCTGTGAGCTTTGGAGATTGTATCTCTTCCTCAGCTCCCCTTACTTGTGGTGTTCCCCAGGCATCTACACTAAGGCCAATTTTATTATCTATTAATATGCTGCTTCCAGGTCTATTTTTTGGAAAATATAATATTGTTTCCATTCATATCTCGATGACAATCAGATCTTTCTTCAACTGAACTGAAGCTGCTCTGCCTCACTTCAGTTTCTCTGTGAAGTTAAAGCCTGGATGGCCTTTAACTTCCTGAATTTTGATGAAAACAAAACTGAAATCATAATTTTTGGACTATGTGGCAATCCCAGAAACTTTCATTTGAACCTGCACAGTTTTTAGCCTTTTATTAAATCACATGCCAAAAGTTTTGGGGTTGTATTTGACAGTAATTTCACCTTTGAAAACAGATCAGCTCAGTTGTACGGCAGCCTTTTTTCAAGCCAGATAAACTATCTTTTAAAAACTTTGAAAGGACGATCCATGCTTTTGTTACATCCCAGCTGGACTACTGTAACTCCTTAAATGTTTGAGTTAACCAGACCTGCCATGCAAGACTGCAGTTGGTCCAGATGCTGCAGCTCGTCTTCTGACACGAACTAAAAGACTTGAACATATTTCCCCGGTGCTTGCCTCTCTTCACTTGCTCCGTGTTCACTTCAGAATTCATTTTAAATTGTATTGTTAACTTACAAAGCCCTGAAGGGACAGGCTCTCAGGTATTTGTCTGACCACCTTCTAGGTCTCTTAGATCAGATGATCTTTTGCTTTTAGCCATACAAAGGTCAAAGCTGGTTCACAGAGGTGATTGAGCGTTTGGAGTCGTAGCTCCTAAACTGTGGAATAATCGACGCCTACACATCAGACAGACTCCTACTGTCAATCTTTTAAATCTTATCTTAAAAAACATTTGTATTCACTGGCTTTTAATAGAGTATGAGATTTATTTGGTATTTGATGTTTGGTACTAATATTATAAATTATTTTACTAGTTATTTTGTATTTTTGTAAAGCACTTTGATCAACATTGCTGTTGTAATGAAATGTGCTATAGAAATAAATAAATGATAAAATGTAAAGAATCTAAATTATGTAAAGTCACAAACTCATAAAAACTAAACTCAACTAAAACTGCTGAGGGTTGGTGCTACGCTGCTTCAGCTTATGAACTGTAATCAGAACAATAAATAAAAACATAGTGGAAAGAAATTTTATTATTGCTGCCAATATAAAGTTTATAGAACCAAATTTCAACAACACAAAATGCTGTCAGTTTAAGAAAAATCTACATTAGACCAAATATTCAGCTCTGGTAGATTCTGCATATCAAAGTTAGAAAACACTGATTTGATGGGAAAAACATTTTACCAAAGAGTTGATTGTAAAGTGTTTCATCCTCTTTCATCAACATCTAAAAATCCCTGTAGAGGGAGGAAGTTGAATGTTTATTTACTGAGATCGACAGCAGCATGTGTAGCTTCCAAATCCATATTTAAAATATATTTCACACCTTTACATTTAGTTTTATTTATTTATCTAAATAGTCTGTTAGTGAGTAAATACTGATTTGGACTATTATTTTATTCATAAAGAGCTGAGTCAGCAAATTCAGAATATTTATGATGAAAAGACAAACCTGCTGATTTTTGGACTCCAGCTGAATCTTCAGGGTCTCTGCTGCTTGTTTCAACTGCTGGAGCTGATGGATGGTTTCAGTTTTCTCCGTCCACTGCAGGTGAAATGTCACATGAAGAAACAGCAGAAGGAAGAAATGCTCTCTACTGAGACCAACAGGAGACTTTTCAGATTGAAATCTAAACTGGAAAACTGAAAGTTGTTGCTTCTAACATGTGAATGACAATCACATCAGGAACGATCCTTTTACACAGCAGTGAGTCTGCTCCTCTCCATCAGCCTACGACAGCAGCACCATCACACAAAGCCAACAAATCATGTATGTAAAGTGAAGCAGCAGCTTTAGTTTAATGAGAAGCTGAAACACAGCTGATCCTCTGCATGATCACAAACACCAGAAGTGAAGTTTCTGCTTTGACTGTCATGGTCCTGAGTCAGTGACACAGTGGTTCCAGGTCTCTGGACTTTATAATGTTTGAATATTTTATGTTGGTTTCATTTATTTTATGCTTTAAGTGTGTTTAGGTTAGAATAAGCCCTCCCTCTGTGTTCCCCGTCCTCTTGTGTCTAGTTCTGTTTGTTATTTGTGTCTCAGTCTTGTCTCCATGCTTATTTGCCTTTCTGGTCCCCAGTCATGTCTCTCCGTCTCATTTGCACTCAGTGTGTCTCAGTGTGTGTTTCTCATGTTTCCCGTTTTATTCTGACAGTCTCCTGTCCTGTGTGCATCATGTCCAGCTGTGTTCCCCGGGTGTCTCCTCTCTGCCCTGATGTCCTCTTGTGTATATGATGTATGTGTCTCATCTATTTGGTGTTGTGAGCTCGGTCTAGCTGTGTGTCTTGTCTGTTTAGAAAGTTTCTGTAGTAGTATTTCAAAGAGTTAGTTCCCAGTTCATGTTCACGTCACTGATTTCTGGGAATAAAACTATTTCCAGCACAGTTTTGCCTGAGAGTCCACAACTCTGCCTCCCACAGAAAATTTACCATGACATTGACTGAGGTTTGGTTGTAGACTGCCTCAAGATCATGTATGGATGATATATTTAGACCCTTAGATTTAGATTTGTTTATTTTTCGTTTATACTGTAAAGTCTGCTGGTGAGTAAGTACTGATGTGCACTTTTATTCTATTCAATTATAGAAAAATGGAAAGACAAACCTCATGAGTTTGGGGCTCCAGCTGCTTCTTCAGGTCTTCTGCTTTTTGTTTCACCTGCACGAGCTGTTTGATGATATCAGTGTTCTTCTTGCACTGCAGGTGAAATGTAGCATGATGTTAACAACATTAAGTGTTTTTTATTTATTTATTACTTATATATAAGGAACCCCATTAGCTTCCACAACAGTGATTGCTGGTCTTCGTGCACAATGCATAAAAATCAAAAACCCTCTTACAATATTTACAATAATCAAAAACTGTGTAAATACATTTTTATTTTTTTTTAAAAATTAGGAATAGTAGCTAGTTCTCTAAGGCAGTTATAAGGCAGTTTATTCCTCTTAAAATATGCTCTCAATATAACGATTTTTTTTAAAAATTGCTTTTGGATCAAGGAATTACTAAATTGCAGTTTGTTACACACCGTGTAGCATGATTGTGTATTTCATACAATACTGCAGCTGAGCAGAGAAAACATGTGTTGTGTTTAACAGTGTTGCTTTCTTTATAAATAAGAAGAAGCCAAAGTGTAATTTAGTTTGTACTGGAAGCTAAAAATGTTTATTATCTATCCGATCGTGCGTTAATAACATCTTATTTAGACGGAGCATTTCCTAACCACAGCTGTGGCCTGTCTCATTTTCTTAATGACAGAGTCTCTATGCTGAGACCATGAGGTGGAGATTTATAGTAACACCAAGTAGTTTAATCTGGGTGATCCAGCTATGAAGAGAATCAGTTGTGGACTGTTGACTAAACTCTACTTCCAGTTAACATAGATTTAGGTTTAGATGAACTAGAATCATGTTATTTTTACTTACTGAGCGATGCTTCCACTGACCTTTGTTTCCAGTGTAGGAAATGTTTTCATCAGCTTCGTAACGATTCCATCCTTCTCCCTCTCAGATTTGATCATCTGTCAGAAAGAAAGACAGATGTTGATGTTTCTGCAGTGCTTAGTTTATAAAAGTGACAAAATTATTGAAGCTTCACACTGTGAGCAACATGTTTTGCGGTGATCTGTATGAAACAAAACCTACACACAATATTCGAAGCACATAGTGCACACTGTGGGAATTTACGACTGTGTTTAAGGCTCTGATATCTATTCTGTATGACTTAAAGCAGTTATGACATGGTCTGATTTTCTCCCCCAATAAAGGAATATTTAATATATCAGTCTACTCTTCATTCTATCAGAAACAGTTTTCTGGTTGTAAACTGTCTCAACACGTTTAAACTCAAAGATCCAAAGATTCTGTGATAATATGCATATCATAGAATCTGTCATATGCTAATAATAACTCACTAATAATATGCAGAGAGACTTTTTAATGTTCTTAAATAAATACAGCCTAGAATTTTTTTTCTACACATATTGTAGAAAAATACTGGTGTGCACTTTGATTCTACAAATTCAGTCAACAAATTCATAATGTTTATGGAAACACAAACCTCATGACTTCTGGACTCCAGCTCAGTCTTCAGCAGCTCTGCTGTTTGTTTCAAATCCTGGAGTTTTTTCTACACAATAATGAAACAACCACAGTCACATTAAAGCTGTATGATGTAAATGTAAGGGAGCTGATGTAGCATGATGCTAACAACATTAAGTGTTGTGGGACGATGTCAACAATCTTGCAGTGGTAAGATTTCAAAGTTGTGTTTGGTTAATGACACAGAAGCTGCTGCTGGACAAAACTGCAGGAATATAAGTGCACAGGTCTGTGATCATTGGGAGGATGACAGCATCACATGTGTCCATGTTTACCTCTGTCTG